CATACATAAGGTAAAGCCACACAAAGTGAGAGTGATAGTGATCGACACAAACACAGCCTCATAATGTCCCAACTCAAAATATATATACAAAAGCTCTCCCTCTGAACATAGGCACTGAGTCCTCATACCTCGTCCTACTGAGTAACTCGTGTCGTAGTATACAAGAGAAGTCAAAAATGTATCCAACACACACAAGATACCTCATACAACCTACACTATAATCGTACAAGCTGGTATATCATACAACTAAGCACTTTCAAGAATCTATCCCAGAATTCAGTAATCTAACCAGGGTCACACTCTACATATATGTACAAAAATGACAAGACTACTCACAATCAAAACTGAATATGTACATGACTGAAGTCAAATCCAACAAGCTACACTCTATTTAATGTATATGCAGACCAGACTCTACTCACTCATCTCCTCCTGATTCTGCCTATACAACTGAGCTCTACCCCCATCTGCAGATCTCTCCACTAGTCGGCCTTGCCTATCATAGAACCGTCCATCCCTCTTTGTAACTTTCTCTTGAGCCTTGTCCTTTAGGAACTTAGGACAGTGCAAGGCTCTATGTCCCTCTTTTTGGCAGAAGAAACAGGAGGTATCACGTCTCTTCCTGGATCTGTTCTTTCCTCTCTGCAACCCTGGCGACGAAGGTGTCTCACTGGCCTCCCTGCTCAACTCATGGCTCTGCGGCCTCCCCAATGATCCCTCCGGCTCTGCCTCCAACTCCTGAGTACTAGGTTCTGACTGAACCTCAATCCTGTCTGGCCTATACTCAGGCGTATCCAATCTCTGAGGCCTGCTCTCAAAGTCGCCCCCCATCATGACATCCAAGCCATCCTCTCGAGGCTCCTCCACTCCCGGTTCTGGTGAGAATAAGCCTYCCACACTCTCCATAGTGTCGACTGYCTCAAGGAGCAAGCTCATCGATCCATCATCTGACCCCAAGGTYTGCGTACTAATGGCAGCCCGTGGCCTGTCCCCTACATGAGGTACTGAGGATCTCAACACTGGATCAGAAGAGATCTCAGGCTGAGTGGCAAGTTCAGTAGGAGTCCTAAACTCGAAGGCCTCTCTCTCTGCCTCCCTCCTTGCTCTTGCTTCCTCTGGCTCTAACATAACTCTCCCCATGGCTGGCTCTTGGGAAGGCTCATCCACTGTCGGCCTCCCAAGTGGACCCTGTGTTGGCTCATCCTGGACATCATGATGACTGCACCCTGCCTGATCCCTGGTACTGGCAGGTGCCTCTCGCCCCTCACATCGCAGCCTCAGGTCCTCGATAATGACAGCCTGCTTGGCTACTAATGCCTTGAGCTCCCGGATCTCCTCCTCAGCTGTCTCCAATCGTACCCCCTGGCTTGACTCCTTTAACTTCTTGCCAGCCAGATATGCCTCCATCAACAAGTAACGATCAAAGGAGGTTTTGGCTAGAAAGCGGACCTTGCGATCCAGATACTCGCTGACTGCCCTGGCCGTCTGAAAACCCGCTCTCTCTGGGGATGCCACCTTCTCATTGTATTGGCTTAAGAAGTCCTCCTACATCTCTCTCACTCCCGAGGGTCTGGGTGGTGACGCGGGTGGCGGGGCTGGGAGCTTTCCTGCAGCCTCCAATCTCTGCCTCTCCTCATAAATCTCTGGCAGTCGTCTCCTAACCCTGGCCCGCTTCTCCTCGGCAGTCTCTCGTGTTGGAACCCTCTCTCTCGTACGGCCATCTGCTCTTGCTGGAATTTCAGCCTCCATCTCTCTCTCTGGCTGATGTGGCTCTCGAGGTGGCTCTATAAGTGTTGGCTCTCTGGGCAACTCTGTAGATGCTGGCCCCCCTAAGTCAGGATGCTCCTGGACGTCAGCAGTCAAACGTCTATCAATCAAGGCAATCACCTCGCTCCTCCGATCTACCCTCTCGCCCTCTGTGTCCGTCCTCCCTTCTCGTGGAGACGTCATATCTGGAGGTAATGGCGACGACTGTCCTTGCTGTGGAGCCTCCGGTGTCTCGCTCCCCAATCTCAATCCAACGGCTGGCGTCTGAGGTGGAGTGTCCTCCTCAACCTCTATCACTTCCCCCTCAGTGCGCATGCCCTCCATGCTCGGCCCTTCCCCTGKCTCATGCYCTTGGGCCTCRTCATGCCCACCTCTCATCTGTGGCGCTCTCCATTGTGAGACATCCAGGCGTGCCTCTAACTCTCGTAGCGGCTCTCCAGATGGTGGTGCCTCCTCCTGATCGTGCTGTGGTGATGCTCCCTGTTCCCCTGAAGTTCCTTGAGGGAACACCACTGGCCCTATCCCACACTCTCGGTAGGCTCCCTGCTCCTCTGTCTCAATCTCCACCTCTTGTTCTCGCCCAGCGAGTGCCTTCYGTCCTCCGCGAGATGTCACAGGCCTTTCAGGCTCAGGATCTCTCGGCCTCTCACCCTGCGGCTCCCTCTCGACTCCAGGCTGGGGTGGCTCTGGTCTCCGAAATGCTGCCAACACGTGAGCCCTGCAGCTCTCCCAGTTCTGAGCCATGCCTCTGATCTGCCTTGCCAGAGGTCTATCTGCCCGCATGGTCCATAGTGGCAGCCTACTGGCCCACCCGTCTCTCACGACCTGCTGGGCATGCATGAACTGCTCAAAGGCAGGGATGAACTCCTCCTGGTTCCCAATTGCCAGACGAATCGGCCTGTCATCCACTCCCATAGGTGAGGGCCACGGCCCCTGTCTCCCCTCCCGCTCGGGCCCTCGCCCTTCTGGCTCTGGTCGCTGAAACTCTCATCTTAAACGGGCTTGGCAGCCTTCCCAGTCAGCAGCTCTATCCCGGATCTGCCTAACCATCGCTCTCTCCGCCGGCCTGGTTCATAAGAGCAACGCCTGCATCCACTCCTCTCGTGGGTACTCCAAATCTCGCATACATCGCTCATAAGCTGGTAGAAACTCATCCACGTTACCGTACTGTAGGCGGATAGGTGCCCCATCCTGGTCCACTTGCGTCACCCTCAACCCGTGCATCCTCCTTTCCACCTCTGCCCAGGTCACCGCCCCCTCTCGAATGCACGCCACGGGCTCCTAAAAAAGCCCTACCCCTCGTAGGTGTCGAATCCTCTCACGCACACCCCATCTCCTCCGTGCCGCGTGCTCCTGGAAGGAATCCAAAAAAAGCTCAACGTTATCATCATCGAAAACCGGCGTGTGCTCTCGTCGAGGTCGCTCAACCCCTCCAGGCGCCCCCAAAGGTCTCTGTCGTAAGCGGGCATCTCTCTGGTATGGCCGGTGCCGCTCAAAATCCCTGGGAACTCTCATACGCCGCTGAGGTGGTCGTCGCCCCTCCCCTTCCCTCGGCATGACTGTCTTCGAAAAGTCAGACCTGCGCATCAGGAAAAGGGACRACAGGCGCACCACGGGATAAATAAGCAGGCAAACCARACCACACGCAGAGCAGAYCAACCCCCAYCTCTATCCATGCRTTCTACCCGCYAATCAATCTAACCTCTAAACATCATCCATCACATTAATCTATGACTCACTACTCTACGACTTATCACCATCTATAGTGGGCAGGGTCCACTATCTCACCTCTTCCCTGGCAACGAACTTCTTCAGTCTTGATCCTTAGACCCAATCCTTCCATCCTGTCCCATCCAATTCCTCAATCTGATAGGCCCCAAAATCCCCGCAGCGTGCGATCCGATACGACCCTAGTCACCTCTTATCCAACTTTCTAGACCACTGCTTCTCCAAGGATGAGTCATACAGCAGCACCACGTCCCCTACTTGCAGCGGCACCTTCCTTACACGCGTCATCTGGTCCCATCGAGCTTTATCCTCCATGCAGCTTTGTTCCATCTGATTAGATGCTTCCTGAATCCTCTCCTCAATGGCTCCAATCTGCCGCGCCCGAATGTCAAGCAACTCCTCAAATGACAGATTGGTTTCCAGATCCTTATGCCTCCAGGTTTTCAGAAAGCTCTCAATGGGAAAGGTTGCGTGTCTCCCATACCACAATGTAGCTGGCGCATACTTCGTGGTCCTTTTTACTGTAATGTTCTCGACAAAGAACGCCGCTCTCAAGTACTTTGGCCATTGATTGGGCCTGCCCTCTGTCCACTTAGCCAAAAGGTTCGTGATGGTGCTATGGCCTCTTTCAACTGGCGCATTAGCCTGGGGGTGTGCGGCCGTAGTGTAGTTGGCCACAACCSCATACCTTGCCWGCAAATCCTGCACCTCTTGGCAGGTAAATTCCGACYCTCTATCCATCACAAACTCTTTGACAAAAGGGTAGCGTAGGTAGTATTCCTCGATGCAACTTACCAAGACTGGTCCAGTYTTRTTGCGAATAGCCYRTCCATCAACAAACCCGGACAGGTTATCTCGCGCATCGAAGATATAGTTATGGCCTTGCTCCCCAGTTGGCATAAACAATAAGTCGAGGTGGACCACTGCACCTACTTCCCTCTTCAACCTAGGGTGTAGAGGCTCTCCCGGTCGTTGAGATGACCTTTCCTGGCAGGGTACGCATGAGCGGTAGAATTGGCTAATCATCTTCATCATCCCATCCCAGTAGTATAGCTCGCTTATCTTTGCATAGGTGGCCCTAACCCCTCGATGCCCACCTGCTATGCCATCATGAAGCGCAGCTATAATATCTATCTGCCGATTCCTGCCGCATACGAGCCTCCTAGGATTCCCCACTTGTCTTTTCGCAAAAAGATGGCCGTCTCTCACCAAGTAGAGATGTCTCATCCTTTGCGCACGTTCGCTGGCGTCTCTGTTTCTCACCTCACAAGATAGAAGGAGCCCTAGCTCTAGGTAGATCCCATCATACTCCTCTGCACGGAAAGCCTCCTTTATCTTCCCTTCCTCAAACTCATCGTCGTAGCTTTCTGACAGCTCCCCTTGGTCGATCGGGTTCACCTGATCCCAGTTCCCTCGTAGCAGAGTGTTAACAAGGAGGTACATTCCTCCCATCAACTCCTCGTGTCGTTCTACCTTGTATGGTCCCTCCTCTATTGTATGAAGATCGTCCACCATGCTGTGAGTTCCGGCCAGCGCCAACTTCATCATCCACCCAACATCTTTACCACCCCACGAATCTTCTTCCTCAAAGGGCTTGAGTACCAACTCCGCCTTCCGCTCATACCCCTTTGGCGTCATCCAAATGGGATAGCAAATGCAACTAGGCAGGCGCAAAGACCACTCATTGATGTGGAGTCTTACATCTTCCTCTTCCTCCAAAAAGCCATCGACTGGGGGCGTCGTCTCCTCTGCCTCACCCTGCTTTTGATCCCAGTCGATTCGACTTAGCCCATCCGCCCTATTCTTATCCCCAGGAATCCTTTCTAACTTGAAATCGAACATCGTATGTCAGCCATCTGGCAACTGTAGGATCCGATGGGATATAGTTCTTCAAAGAGTAGGCTAGCGCAGTAGGATCAACCCTTAGTACAAACCTTCTACGGAAAATATAATTTCGGAAGATCCTCAGACAATGGAGCACTGCGAGGGTCTCCTTCTTAAACTGCGAGTAATTCCTCTCAGCAGAATTAAGAGTCCGACTTTCGAATCTTAAAGGTCGCTCCTTGTTTTCTGCATCCGCATGGATAAGAGCTCCACCTAGAGCAGTTGGCCCTGCATCTGTCTCCACTATGAACGGCCTTCCTTCCACTGCATCGTAGTCGGGTGCTCCCAAGACCAATCCTCCTTCCCGAAACTCCTCCTTCATTCTGGCCACTGCTTTCTCTTGCTCCCTACCCCAGATTCATTCCTGATCCTGACGAACTAGCTTTCTTAAGTGCTCAGTCTTAGCGGCAAAATTCTTGACGAAAGTACGCCAAAACCCGCATGGCTGAGGAAACTTCTTACGTCCGTAACAGACTGAAAGGGTACCGGCCATTCTATGATCTTATCTGTCTTCTTTATGTCAGGTCGACGCCCTTCTTCATTACAGACAAAGCCCAAAATGGTCGCTTCCTTCATGCAATGCTTAGATTTAGGTCCACTTGCCGTAAGGTTGTATTCCTCTAGCAAACTCAGGACTTTGTCAAGATCCTGAATATGCTGCCACACAAAATGCCTAACCCCCGGCAAGACTTCGTCACACTCCTTCTCTCTAGCCCCTTTTACCGCCAAGTCGTCGATGTACGACTGCGTAATGCTTGGGCTGACTGTCTGCATGGCCTGGATCATGTGACGTTGAACCATGGCCACTGCATTCGTCCACCCTTGCGGCGCCACATTCATGTGAATTAACCCTCTCGGCGTGTGCATGACCGTCACTGGCCTATCTGGCGGGTAGACCGGAAATTGGTCATACCCTGAATAGAGGTCTATAATGGATATTTTAGGCCTCCCAGCACACGACTCGGATAGGGCGTCCGCATTAGGTAAACCTCCCGCATCACGCACAATTACCGCATTCATCCGTTGCAGATCTTGGACCCAATGCAAAGTCCCATTAGGCTTGATAAAACAAAACCAAAGGCTTGCGTATGGTCCACTTGAATAATCGGCGACGTGTGTTCGTATTTTACTATCCAAATAATCCACCACCTTCCGCTCTTCGCCAGGATTCGGATACCGTGCCCCTCGCAAATTCCAAGGTTCATGCGGCACGGTGTGAATCCGGATCATGGGGATCTTATCCACATCCAACCTCCCTCTCTCCTCATCGTTGAACGCGTAAGCTCGATGCTTCTTTTTGATAAGCTCCAGCATCAACGCCTTCTCTTGTGGCCGTAGGAAGTCTGACTCCCCTATGATCAACTTCCCTTCAGTCTCCTCGTTGATACGATACGGTCCTGATGCGGCTTGTTCTTTCATTTGTCGTATCAACTCTCGTTCCTCCTCGTAGTAAAATGCTTCATCCTTTGTAACGAGGACAGGAACTGGGCGGCACTTCTTATCTACCGTTTTGTACCGCCTTTTAGAGCCCTGCTTGAACCTTCCCTTAAAAAAGGCTGGCTCACAGCTTGGGCCTGCATCACTGCCGGTCCTCTTCTCCCACCAGGTAGTCGATAGACTAGCTCTAGCTCGCCCACCTGGGGACATTCCAAAACTTGCTCTCTCAGAGCTTGGATGGCATCAGGATCCGTCATTTCGTGGGTTGCCACCAAATCCATCGCCTTATCCACGTCCGCCAAACTGAGAGCGAACGCCTCTCCTTTCTCTTCTGCTTCCACCTCCATGTGGATCCTTCGCCGCTCCTCTTCCATTTCCTTAACTGTGAAGGAACTGGGACTGAGTCTGTTTCTTATGCTGCATGGCCCCGTGTTAATGCAGGTAATCACCTCGTAATTACCACAGGATGGATCGCACATCAGCAGGATCAGAGTACCATCATGTTTGTTAAACATCAGGGTCTCTGTCCGGCTTAAGAAAGACCTCCCTAGGAGAAGGCCATGATCCACATCGGCCATAACGAAAAAGCACGCCCTGGCCTTTACCTTCCCAATTTCTAACAACACGTTCGAAACTGTGCCGCAAAACGTTGCCTTGCAATTGGCACCATGTAAGATGCCGCAATCAGATCGGTCTATATCCAGACCAAATCTAATGGCATCTTCCTCACGAATAATGTTCATCTCCGCGCCTGTATCTACCATCGCGGAGGCCTTGGTGCCTTTCACTACCAGTGGTATCCTTCCACAGGCTACACACTTCCAGTCTATTTTTGTGCCTGGCTCCGCCCATTCCATCTCCTTTGGCAATATAGTACCCAGAAATACGTTGGGTATCAATCTCCTCGATAATCTCCCCTTCAGACTGTCACGGAGCCGGGGTGTAGAGGCTAAAATTTCTTTTAGGGTCAACAAATCATTGTGGCCCTCCAGCAGACGGTCGATCACACTTTCAACATCAAAACCTTCTTCCAATCGAACCGCGTACTTCTTTTTCTTCCGCGCCGTATCGCGCAAGGCTGGCTCAGGGTCCTCTTTGACCCCTCTCTTCTTGGCCCGTTGCCCCGCCCTCTCATCCTCCTCACGGTGGAGCCTCTCGTCCTGCTCCTCATCCTCACTGTCATCCTCCACCTCCACAGCCTCTTTCCTCCTTTCTTGTTCTGGCTCCTTTTGTGGAGGTTCCTGACTTGGGCCAGCTTTCTCTTGACTCCTCGTTCGGGCTGCGGGCACCACCCTCCTGTGTGCCATAGGAGGCCTTATCAATCCCCCTGGCCGTGCGCCCGACCCCACCGAAGCTACATTGGGGTAGCTCTGGCGTTCTGGCCTTGCCTCGGGGTCAGTATCCAGCAAATAAACCTTGGGGAGACTACCTTCCCACTCTTTCACCTCCCCACAGATATCCTGCAGCTCTTGCTGGTACCTTCCCATCTTCCCCCACAAGTCCTCCATCTTGGCGACGAGGTCCATGATCGACGAGCTGTCCTCAGCTTCCTCCTCATCTTCCACCTCCCTAACCACAGGCTCTTCCTTCACTCGTTCACTCGCCGTCTACAGATGCCCTCCTTCATCCTCTTCAATCTCTTCCACTGTTATTGGAGGACCCTCCTTCTCTTGCCACAACCGGAATACTGCCGGAGGTGCTGGCGGCCCTCCTGCAGCTCTCCTCCTTAGAGCCTCCACTCTAACCCCACCTGGGATCTTACGGTCTATCTCTTCTCCGAATTGGTCGAACATATGCCCATCCATACTTGAATAGACTAACCCTTCTCTCTCGTCGTCCCTTCGTTGGTTGCAGAATCGGATGGTATGTCCTTTCTTATCACAGTGTTGACATATTGCCGTCCTCCAATCAAAATACGCTCTGCCACCACCTTRTCCACCTTGGTTYCACTGACCTTGACTCCCCTGATTCTGACYWCCTTGGTTACCCCACTGTCCACCGCCTCGTCCACCACCATTCCTTCCACGTCCTCTTTCTCCACCCCTACCACCATTCCCTTGGCCCCTCTGACCCTGGCCTCCACCTCCTGCCACACTATCTTGTGATGGCGCGGGCGATGGGGGTGGTGCCACGGGTTGGGCCTGCGTGGCCGGGTAACTTGGGGACGGCGCAGTGTTCTGCAGGTTTACGTATGGCACCATTTGCCCTCCTGCGTTCTGCCCGCTCCATGAAGGCGCGGGGTTAAACACCCATTGCCCTTGTGGTGGCATCAATACCAGTGGGGCCCCGACACTGTTGGACGGGCCARCTRCATTTGATGCGGCGGYCGGCGCTGCCGCCTGMTGTAGTTGACCCTTCCYAGTGCCTTGTCCTCCCTGCGCCTGGTTGTGTAGTATCCTCTGTGCTTTCGTAAGGTGCACAGGCACAGGTTCCTCCTCTTYCCAGTCCGGCTGAGCGGCTTCTTTGTTCACCACCTCTTTCCCTCTTCCTTGGACAGAAGTTATCACCCTCTTCTGTATTACCTCGTCCTGACCATACCCCAGTTCTGCGAGCGTATCCTTAATAATCCTCTTTACCCCAGGGTTCCCGAGGCCGTAGCATCCCGTTCTTTCCTCTTTCGCCTCTGCTGGCGCATTTGGTATTGTTCAACCTGGTCCAGGCTGCCATTTGCTACACCTCTGTCGATGGTGTCCCAGGTGAGTTTGGCCCTACCTGCTACCCCATGACTCGTTATTTCGGATGCCTCCGAAGCCGTAATCAACCCCAAGATGATCGCACACAAAGCGTCTTCAGAGACCCCATGAATCTTCCTGGCTTTCTTCTTAAATGCCTGCAAGAAGGCTCCCACTGTTGTGAAGTCATCCCGATTCATGGCTTCCAGATCAGTGGTCGTTAGCATTCCATCCCCTAGCCTATACTTCCTTCGCATAGCCTCTTTATAGCGGTCTCAACTACCATTGGCTGCGTCGATAACCTTCTGTACTTCAGAGTGGTGGATATGAAGTACAAATCTTAGTACTCGCTGAAGTTTCACCTCGTCTGCCAATCCCACCAGGGCCTGATCCACTTTGTCTAACCACTCGGAGACTCGCTCCCCGTCAAAGTGGAACGTGTCAACCTTAGGTACATTACTGGCCATTCTCTCTCGCCTGTCCAAGGCCTCGACGAGGTCATCGATCGTCATTGTCTTTTCTTCGCCTTCCGACATTTTGACTGACGGCTCCTTTACTCAAACTTCCCTGCTATAAGATCGAGAGCACACAACAATTTCACTCAGTCATTACGTCCTACTATGTACATACGGTTTTTCCCTCCTACAACCCTACCATAATTTTAACATAGTTCTCCCCTTTCATGCTCTCTATCTTTAAGTCCCAGACTTCCTCACCTAGCCTATCACGTCTTTAGCCTAATCCCGGACAAGGTTAAAATAAAATCTTACCCTTACTACTCTTAGCTCATAAGAACATACAAGAACGAAAAACAGATGTTACCACATACAATCCCCACACGTACCTTTAAACCTCCCAATGCTTGATTTCTCTCAACCTTCCCGAGTGTCGTTCCACCAGGGACAACGGTAGGCAACCGTTATCCCCGGCAACGGCGCCACCTGTCGAGCGCATCGGTCCGGCACCGCACGAAGCAGCGCGGAACCCTCCCGGCCGTGTCACGCAGGAACAGGACCACCTAACCATGAACACAATCCAACGGAGCTTCCTATAGGACGCTCCGGCCGGGTGCGCCAGCCATACCTCTCGCGAACCCCTACGACAGGATAGGGCCTACGCGAGGCACAACTTACCTCCACCATTCGGGAGCTGTCACCTCCCTGCGGTGGGCGTATCCCCGCTGAGCTACCAGTCCACAATACGAAAGTTACTCTGTTGCAATCGCAGAGATGGACCAGCCGAGGGCGTTTCTCGTTCGCTGTAGCATAGGGGGTATGCGCGGTATTACGCCTTTGTCGAACCCGTGCGTGAGACGTCTTCTTGGGGTGGCTGAAGTCCCGAGCGCGACCCGTCGGCGGTCGACTAGGACGTACTCTACACTCGCACGTACACCACATAACAACAAAACAAAACATAACACACGCTTACAAACGTACCCACTCGAACGAAACGACACAAACGAACAAACCGCTCTATCCTAGTCCCTTGAGTAACTAACCCATAACTTTCCGACGCGAACTCGGATAAGCGTCGCGCGCGAGATTCTAATATAAACCTGCTCGGTCGCAGGGCCTCCCCATATCGATTGGCACTATCTGAAGATGCAAACAGTCGCAGTAATATCCTCACGATATTGAATGGCTGAAGGAAAATATATTGTGGGGTCTTACCCCTCACGATATTGAACGGCTGAAGGACACGCCGTTTGGCCTCCGCGACTTCTCTGTGCCTTTGCCAGAATGTCGTGGTAGGCGATCCATCAAGGCTCCACTTGAAAGGAAATCCCCCCATCTCGTGGAGCCGGAACCCGCCTTGTCCTGGACAAGGACCTGAAACGCGGGTTCAGGACTAACGTCCGACTAAGAACTTCAAAAGCAAAAGAAAAGTAGTGGGGCGCTCGTCCCTTAGTTGCTTCCCCGACTACCCTCTACATGCAGGCCCAAGTGAACATGCCTATGTTTTGTCCATACATAAGGGTATATAAGCAATACATAGACATATAGAGGCTTAAATTTGTGGGTCGATCACTTCTCACAATCACGACAAGGCTCCCTCCAATCRTATATGTGTGAAACGCAGGCAGCCARAATAYAAATCTGAYCCAGGAAACATACMTGCATTCACATCAAAGTTCAACAGAGAGAATAGAGCCCACACACTACACGGGGTCAACTTCAATCACTTYGCTGTACTCACACCCCATGCTTTAGCCATGCAAACCCCAACCTCCGTCCAACCTCCGTAAATAAACACTCAGTGCTTCCTTTAAATGGTCATTCAATAAAAGCCCGGGTGAAAACCTTAATAAAACAACGAAAACCACCGGCCAAAGCTCTTTTAGGTTGAGCAAGAGAAAAGAGATGGAGTTGAGTCGTAGACCGACGAATCGGTAACAGACCTGTTATCACGGATAACAGAAGACGATCCTTGTAGGATCGAGCTGACACTGACCCAAGTTCCGGATCAAATCGACCAAAGAGTAAACCTGTATCACAAGACAAGTCAATATTCCAGCTAATCATGTAAGCGTATGGAGGGTAACCTCCATATCTCATCTGCACCCGAATTCGACAGATGTTAGGCCTAAACTTACCTCTGTACAAGTACCCAGAGTAAAACCTAGATCTTTAGGTACACCTCTCCTATAAGTGATTGCCTAAGGGTCGCCACCTGTCGACTTATAGTCTAACTCCTTTAAAAACAAGAAAATTTCGGCAGCGCTTCCCGTAAGAAAACTGCCTTCCCAGAATTTATACGAGCTCAAGTATAGACACTAAGATAAATCTCAACTTTGAAAAGTCAATGTTTGTCTAAGTCCCTTAACTAGCGAAAATTTGGGCAGCACTTCCCCTAGAAAGGAAGGTTTCTCAAATTCTTACTAAGTCAAAAGTACTTAAAAGTTCAACCTTTGAAGAGCCAGACTTAACCAACTCCTTGGTTTTGCAGAAATTTCGGCAGCGCTTCCCGTAGAGAAAGTCACTTTCCAAGATTTCTACAAGACTAAATCTACAAAGTGACCCAGAAACTGCGAGACAACAAGACTAAGCAGAAAAGACAACTACCTCCTATAGCTCTAGCACATGGCGAGCACTAAAGCAACTACCTATCAATACAAACCTCAGACTAGACACAG